AAGAAAGAAAGAAAGAAAGAAAGAAAGAAAGAAAGAAAGAAAGAAAGAAAGAAAGACTTCATGTGTCTGTGAAGAGTTAGGAGAGGAATTTGACTTGCAGGAACTGTGGTCTCCAGACTTCATGACTGCCAAACTCAGTCTCCAAATTTGCTATCCTCTCTGCTCGGGGGCATCATATCTTCTCGTCCTCCCTTCTTCCTCTTCTGGCTCTCTTCTTCCTTTTTTGTTTCCTAACGCGGATTCCTGTCTACTTGCGGGGGTTTTTGGAGAAGGGTGCTGGCCTTCTCTGCCTGCCTCCCCAATCGCCTCTTTCCTGCCTTGGAGGACTTCCCAGGGAGGAACGGTGGAGGCAGAAGGAGGGACCAGGAAGCTGAGCAGGCGCTGGCGCTGCTCGGAATGAAATCAGCCCAAGGTCTGTTGCTCCACCTCACGAGGGGGGAAGGAGCACGTCCTCCGCCAGGAGGCTGCAGCTGGCTCCTGGCCATTCTGCGCAGGGCCTCCAGACGGCTTCTCCTATAGCCCCCCAACATCTCCCCCGGGGCGGTTAATGAGAATTTGTGTGAGTTGGCACTGAAACCATTTCACCCACTAGATCTGGTTGTGTTCGACACTACGCAAGCCTCGGGGATTGTGATGTGGAAACGACCCTCCCCCTCGGCCCGGGCAGGCCAGGGCTTTCTTCCAGGCTCCCAAACCCGGTTCCATGGCTGCCTGCCTGCCTACCAAGGGGACAAGGACAGGCTTCAGAGGGTTAAGCCTTCCTGGAGTAGACCCTCCTCTCCCTGCTCACTCCCTCCGGCGCTCGCTCGGCAGTGGGGGATTTATTTGGACTCACGCCACAGGTATTCTCCTCTGGTTTTATGCCACTGAGGAAGACCTGTCAGCACACATCCAGCAGCGGGTCTCTTCTGCACAAGGGTCTTGGCCAGGAGAGAGGGGCCCTCTCGCTGGATGGGCTTGTAAATGGTTAAATGTGCATTTCATTACTTCTGCAGCAGCACCAGAGCCGTGGACTAATAATCCAAAGTCCCCTTAGTTTTATTAATACATAGAACACCCTGCAACCATCTGTTTAATAGGTTTTTATCTTTGACAGCCTGCTGCAGACTCTGTGTTGTCACTGGGAATAAACCCGCTTCGCACCGGTCTGTGGTGCATTCGGGTGGTGGCTGGTGTTGTTAGGGCTGGTTCCTTGGAACAGAAGGCCTCAAAGGGGCCAGAGAAGGCCTGATCCACTCCGGAGCTGTTTCCAGAGGCCGGCCTATGTCTCAGAGACGTCTCCAAGCTGGACTCTGAGCTCGGGACCTGGGAGGGAGCTATTTCCTCTCCCCCTCCCCACCTTGCCCCTGCAACACTTCCCAGACTTTATCCAGAAAGAGGAGCAATGCCAGAGGGGATCTAGCTCGCCCACGTTACTCACCACAGTGGTAAAAAGGGACCAATGGGGGCAGGGGCGGGGTTGGAAGAAATAGCTGTGTCTCCCGATGCAAAAACCATCAACGGGTGAAGGGCAGAGCATGGAAAGGGGGCCAGGACCCCCCTGGAGCCCTCCCCTCTGCTTTCTGGACCACTGGCAGCAGACCTCTTGGCCAGTAGGAAAGGGGTTAAGAGCAAGGGGGAGCTTTGGAGGCGCAATGCTGGAACTCCCCGCTCGCTCCAATCTATGGGAAATAGAAGCCGGCGTCTCTGGCGCTTGCCTCGTTTTGCCCAGCAGCGTTCTCGTGACGAGCGAGTGTGATTATCGCTAGGAAAGGGTCAGATGGGATATTGATCCGGCTTTGCCCCTCACCTGCCTGCCAGGAGAGGCTCCGGGAGCCGGGCACGGCAAAGCAAGGAGCCCGGCTGAGGGAGCAGGCGGAGCCAGCGGGCAGGCGTGACGTGTGCGGTGCTGCTGCTGCGGCCCAGGGATTGCGCAGACATCTCATTTTACCCCCAAGAAGTACTTTCTGCAGGCCTGTGGCTGTTCGCTGGGAAGTAAGGGCACCCAAAGAGCTTACTCCGCATCTGGGTGCCTGTGCAAAGAACTGACAAAATCGGAAGGAAGAGAGGTTTTAAAATTAACGCTGCAGGGGAACGGAAGTCAAGTGCAAACATGGTTCTGGGTCTTCAGGGTTTCAGTTGAGACCCGAGCCCCCGTGAGGCACAGGAGTTAGGGTCCCTGAAGTTTTCCATTTGCTCCTTAGCTCCAGAGACGGCTCCTGGGAAGAACTGTGCATTTTGAAATGGCTCGGATTTTCTTTGAACAGCCGTCTGCGTTACTTCTAGGTGCCCCCCATCAGTTCGCCAAGGCAATTCCGTGCCTTCTGTTTGCCCTTTCTCCGGGCAATGTACAGGTGGCTCCTCCCAGTCCAAGCGGCACAGAATTATATTTTAAGCAAGCACCCTAACCCTAATAATAATAACAAAGATGATGATGATGATGATGATGCAGCTTTTTGTGCTGGTGTGATCCTGTGTGCTGAGAGTAGAGAGCAAATGCAGGAAATGGAGCTGACTTGTTGCGACCAGCATCTGAAGCAGGGGTCCGATCCGGCCAGCCCGGCGACCTCCTTGGGGATGACCAGGTGAATTCCTCGTGGTGGGTCTGGCAGCGGGCCAGGACAAGGGGATGTGTCACTCTGGAAATGGAGGGTGGTGCAGAAAGGGGAAAAGGTGGCGGGGTGGGGGTGGGGAGAGACCCCTCCCATGGCCGACAGGAGCGGCCTCCCTTCCAGTTTGCCACCTCCAACTGCTCTGCCATCTGGGGCTGCTGGCCGGGCCGTCCCAACCTCTGGACTTCCTGCTAAGGCTGGGCTCGGGGTCCGGAGTCGCTCCGCAGCTCGTCCTGCCTGGGCCTCAGGCCCTGCCTGGGGGAGCCCTGTCTTGGCCGGCCTCCAAGGGCCGTCCCAGCGGGAGGTCGGACAGCGCTGCCCTTCCTGGCTTTCAGCCTGCCTGGCTCAGCCCGGGGCCCGCAGCAGCCCCGCCGGGCAGCAGGGCAGCTGCTTCCGGCCACCCAGACGCCCTGCCCTCCCGCTGCCACCGCTCAGGGATTCTTGGCACAGCCCGGCCGTCACTGTCATGCGAAATGTACGCACTCCCTCGGAAAGGACTATCATTATCCTTTCTAATATAATTAAGACCAATTGAGCAGAATAAGAAAGCAGAGGTTGTGGAGGGAGGGAGCGTGTCCGTGGGGAAGTGAGGGGCCGCCTTCCTCCAGAGGAGGGAAGGAAAACCATCTTTACTGTTTTAACTTTTAGAAACTGCATTGGATGCCTCCTAATTCGGTCTGCTTTTTAAACCCCAAGGAAGAGATTGCGGGCAGAGCACATCAAAGCGCCGCAAGGGGAGGGTTGTGGGGACGGACCCCCTTTTCAGAAAGCTTTTCACTGGGAAATGGGGGGACTATCTTGGGGGAGCCAAATCCACCCTTTTTAAAAATGGTGAATTGTGACAAATGGATCGTCTTCAGATATTTCACGTTTTTTTCTATCGTCCTTCATTTTAGCATCCGGGGATTTCTATCTCCGTGGTGGAAACAGCCACGCAAAGCCGT